ACGTTCCCAAGCTCAATAATGTCTTTGTAACGAGCGCGTAACACTCTTTGTGCATCAACGTCCGTCTCACAACTGTATCTCTTTCTCACTGGAACTCCCAAATACCCAAGAGCGTCCTAACAACCTCCGGTATCGTCCTACAAAAGAGAGGACGGCACGCCCATCACCCTCCCCAAAGACCGAGGTAAGAGGAAGATTTTGGTGGCGAATGTCACAAGGATCATCCACCATGGCTTCCTTCAGGTGCGAGCTAGCAACACGTCAAGGGTTTTAAGCAGCTCGATGTCTCTTTCTTTCTTTCTTTCCTCATCAAGTTGTCTAGCATTACCCTTTGGGGAGGTCCGTCAACAAACATGTCTTGCACTAGTCTTTCATTGTACGTTATGTCTCGCTCTTGACAATGTTTTGAAGGCTGCATTCGTAATCTCAAATCTATCTTCCCATTTCATCGAGAAAACATTCTCGAGCAGGCATCAACCTGGTTTCGTCTCATTCATTACTCTTAGGACTTCCACACCTTTCCAGCAATTATTTTCCTCCCCCCAAAGCTCAGGCATGGCCAAATCCACAAACATTCTTTCCTGGTTCATTCTTCCCCGCTTCTCTGAGATCCTGCCAGTTCCGCATGCATATCACCCTTTTGTCAATCCTTGTCTTCTTCCCTTGTCTTGATTTTCATGTGCGCTGCTCAGTTCTTTCCTTTGAACATTCCTTTCCCAGGTGCCTTGCCAGACTCTTCTTTTCAAGCTCATGCAGGCCAGTCACACCGCCCTACCTCCACTTACCAGTTCATTCAGAATCAATCATACTAGCCCTTTCCTTCCTGGTCGTCCAACCAGGCCCTTTTTCTCAAGTTCATGCCATGTCTCTTGCTCAAGTCCCTTCTGTCCCGGCCTCTTGTCAGGCCCCCCCTTTTCTCAGGCCCATGCAAACCAATTACAAGTTTTTTTTTTTTTTTTTCTGGGCGTCTTGCCAGACCCCTTTTCTCAGGCCCATGCAAAACCAATTACAGGTTTTTTTCCATGCGTATTTATTGGTAGATGGCGCACCTTCCCCCCACTCAAAACGAGATGTCCCCATCGCGCGACTGGTTCTCACTCGGAGGTACGCAGACCTTCGGCCCGCCAACCGCAACTCAGGGACACAAGCCCGTCCGCTTCACAAAAGGAAGAGTGATCAGTTCCTCCCCAGCGAACGATGACTCATCCTTCTACCCGGTTCGACCTTTGTTCTCTTACGTGGCGAGCACCGATACCAAGGTTCCTCCTCACGTCTGTCAGGTAGGTCCAATCCAAGCCTGCCAGGGTCTCGTCTAGCCGTAAGAGTGTTCCTCGCGAATCGTTCCTCCCGAGTGGTGATTTTCTGGATTCCGACCTCTTTCTTTCAAGAGAGTTGGGGCTCTCGATCAGTTCTCGAGTGTAGTTACGAAGACCTCGCAATTAGTCCCGAAACGGTTGTAATGTTTCGGCAGGGCGGTGTCAATGCCCCGTGGTGGTGGCGGACTCCACCCGGTACCTCGCCCCGCCCCTCCCCTTGGACAATGCTGCCCAACTTAGTGCGGGCAGCCGTGGTCCGACCCAAACGGCCATGCCACCCCTCTATGACGTGGCGTGTGGTTGGAGAGTAGCCAAATAGACTAGATGAGAATGACTTTCCTGCCCATTTGGCTTTCTCGCCCTTTGACGTTTAGGCATTGAACAGGAGGCGCAGTTGGAACTCCCCGACTAGAGCTCATTGTCGGAGGTGGTTCCGGACGTCCCGCACCGATCCAAGTGGTAGGTGCCTTAGTCCTTTAACCCTCACCCACTTGAAGAGGAACAGGTCGCGCTGAGACTTTTCCCTCAAAGGGATAGAGGTCTTCGGGGTTGCGGCGCATGCACCGGTATCCCTCTCTTGTTGAGGCCAAAGACTAGAAGAAAGGAAAAATTCCATTCCAAAACTCTTTCCAAGTCCATTTCCAGTTGCCTAGGGTCCCCTGTCTATGCAATGCAATTTCCAATACTCAATCCAATTTCAATGCTCAGTCTCATTCCCATGCTCAATCTCAGTCCAATGCTCAATGCAATATCTCTTCCCAGGCTAAGTCCAATATCTCTTCCAATGTCGTTTCCAAGGCTCAACTCTTCCAATGTCTTTCCCAAAGCTCCGCACTTTCCAATATCTTTTCAGAGGCTCAGTTCTTCCAATTTCATGCATCTCAAGCAGCCATGCAAGGGGACCCCAGTTCCAATTCCAAAGAATGACCCTTGTCAGGGGCCATTCCGAACAACCTGGTTAGGGTCGTTCTTTCCATTTCCAAGTCGACCACCCTAGTTAGGGCCATTCTTATCCATTGCAGTCGGACAACCTGGTTAGGACCATCCTTGTCCATTTCACTGTTTAGCGCCCGAGGGGGTGGGCCTCGAGGACACGGATCCTATTCTCGTCTCGGGGGTTAGAAGATGGCCATCCTTTTGGGGTTTTATGCATGATTCTTCCTCTTTCTCTTATCATTTATCACTCTCATGTCCATCCATACATCCGACTTAGCGTCTAATGCTCAATTTGAGGCTTGCGACCTCAATCAGCACTAGCCCGCCCGGCCGTTCAACCATTGCAAGGGGTGCTGAGTCATTTCAATGTTCTTTCCGCTCTTCCGGCTTCTCATAACATCTCAATGCTCTGGACTTGCCTGGGATAAGTTGGATTAGGCTTCTAGGGAAGAGGGCGCCTCTTTACCCATAGGTCCCCTAACCTCTCACAAGGACTCGTACAACGACTCATTCAACCATGGTTACACAATTCAACGAGAAAGCCTTTGTCATCAACGTTCATTCCAATATTCAAGAGTTGACATGCCCTTGCTCATCTCCTTGAGACAAAGTCAATCACCCCGAGTCCCTTTCTTACTACAAAAAGCTCATGTTTCCCAAAAGGAGCAGGTACTCATACAAAGTAGCCCCGATCACCCACCCCCTACTAGTTTCTTCAATCCAAAAAGTAGTTACATCGCAATCTTTCCAAAAAGAAAACGAGGAGACAAAGTCCGAATGCAAGACAACATTACAGACTCATCTCATCTAGTTCCCTCTGTTTTTCCCTTACTTTCCCTTAGCCATCCCAGCCATCCACAGTTCTATTTTAAGTGCAAAAAGCTCTCGTGCCCATTCCCGAAGAAGCAACGACTTATATGAAGTAGCATTCGTTACCCAGTCCTTAGCCGCTTCGAGCTTAGCAGTTGTCTCATCATAGTTCATTCAGAAAGAAGTTCAAATGCGCAAAAAGAAAGATGGCAGTTCTTGCTGCCCGGTTACCAATCCTTCCCCGATTCCCAGCTATTCCCATGATGCCTGCTGTCCCCTTTTACTGTCCCGGTGCCCTGCGTCGAGCCTCCCTCCTTGCACGGTCCTCCATCTCTTGCTCCATTAGCCTCTTTATCATTTGTAGATGACGAAGCGTTTCTTCTAAAAAGAAGGTTATTGGGGATATGTCTTCTCCCCTGCTCAACTTTTCCTTGCCCTTCATTGCCCACTGATAACCCACAATACTGGACCATTGATCAAACCAATCGCTGAAAGTTGCCCCGAATTCTCTTTTCCACGGGTCCTTTTCTTCCCCTGGGTCCTCCTCTCTTCCCCGATCTTCCCTTGTGGGCGTTGTCACTTCGTCCTCTTCTTCCCCGCTATTGAGGTCTATGACCTCGATGGACTCCTCCTCCTCCAATCTTGGCCTTTTCCCCGGGTTCCTCTCTTCCTCCCTGCTGGTATCGCTTTCAGAGGGGAGGACTATTGGCTCCCCCTCCCTTGGTGGTGAAGGTCCCCTAGTCCCTTGGTTTCTCCCCCCCCTGTTCACAACCAGGTTGTGATCAAACCTCACATACAATTTCCTTTTCCAGGAGCTTGATTCTCCAGCCTGTCTCGACGACTGTCCCTCAGTAGGCCTATTGATGGCGTTGCTGTCGTTTTCATTTCCAAACTCCATTTTTGCCGTTTGCTGTTTGCTCCTTGCGTGGTCCTGTTCATGCATATCAGTTATCGCAACCCCTCATACACACGCATTCCCTTCCACTCCCATTCGCAGCTTTGGAGGCTTCCTTAGAACTCTTGCTTGCCCCCATGTAGTTGGTAGTCCCATTATCCCTTAGAACCCTTGACACATTGTCCCAACACATAAATACCTCGTGTAGACAGTCCCCAGTGTTACCCCACAAAAAACTATGATACATTGTCCCGTGCTCCCAAGCCCAGTCACAGTCAGCCCAGGCAGTCTCCCCACGTTCCACAAAAAGCAAGATACACAAACGAACAATCCCTGTGGTCATGATCACTTCCACAGGGAGGCGGTCCAGAACTTATAGCCAGCTGCCTGCCTTTCAGGCTGTCAATTCCCCAGTTTCCCTGTCCTGAGCTTCTTATAACCATTGTTCCACCGGATCCCTGCTAAAAAATCTGGCCAGTCTCTGCCCCGGAAATGGTCCTCTTATGCTAGTACGATCAAGATCCTCAAGTTCGAACATATTCAGTCCCACCCGCTTAGCGATCCTGTAAGGCCCTTTGAATCTCTTTCCCAACTGCCCAGACCATGTGCTTTCAAGGGCCGAGTTTCTAACTAGCACTTTCTCCCCCACCTGGAGTGGCTCTTTCCGAATGTTCTTGACCTGGTCCCACCTTGCTTTATCTTTCATTCGGCTATCCGTTACACGGTTAACTACTTCCTCCAATGGCTCCTCATTCCTGGCGACCTGCTGGCAACGTGCAATGATTAACTCCTCCGTGGGCAAGTGCAGATTATCATCTAACCTGTTCCAGGGACGAGGGCCTCCACTGGGAATTCAATCTCCCTTCCATACCATAGCTCCGCTGGAATGCATCCCGTCGTTCTCTTTGGTGTCATGTTCTCAGAGAAGACTGCCTGCTTAAGGTACCGTGGCCAGTTCCCCAAGTTGTTTGTTGCAAGCTTAGCGATTGTGTTTTTCAAGGTCCGGTGCCCCCTTTCTACTGGTGCATTTGCCTCAGGGTGGTAGGGCTCAATGATCTTGATTGGTACGCACAGTGTCTTAAGCCTGTTCAACACCTCCTGGTTAACGAATTTTGTCTCATTGTCTGCTATAAACCTGCGCACGAAGGGGTGTCTTAGGTAAAAATCTTCCACCCAATCGGCCACTGCTTTCCCCGTCTTCTTTTTGAGGGCTACGGCCTCTACATAGCCACTGAGATTATCCCTTGCATCCAGGATGTATCTCAACCCATCCGTTGATACGGGCATAACCGCAAGATCGAGGTGAACAAGGTGTTCGGGTCCCAATACCCGAGTGGGTCTAAGGGCTCGTAAACTCGTACGGATCTCCTCTCTTGACATATAAGACACGTCTGACAGTACGTTGCGACCATGCCTGCCATTCCTGGCCAGAAATACAGGGGCACGATCTTTGCAAGTGTCCCCTTTGATGACCGGTGACCTCCAGCTAGCCCATCATGCATTGCTTGAATTACGTCCAGCTGCCTAGACCTCCCACAAATGACACGCCTAGGCGTCATCCCTTCCTCTTTCTTGAACAGGTGACCATTTCTTAAGACGTACTTCTCAGCTTCCTCCCTTGCCTTGGAGCTGACTTCCGTGGATTGTTTGTTCCCTACAAGCAACAGACCGATTTCTCTAAAGACGCCCTCATACATCTGTATGAGGAAGAACTCATGTTCCTTCTGATCCGTATCCTGCTCCTCCCGAGTCTGGTTGACTAGGTACTGGCATTCCTTCCTTGCCCAGGTTTCGGCCAACGTCATCACGGCGTCCCGTCCCCCTTCCACGGCCATTGCCATCAGTTCATCTCTGGCCCCAACTTCTGCTCCCCACGAGTCATTTTCCTCTTTGCGCCGGGCCGTGGTGACTGGCCCTTCTCTGAGTTCTGCAACTACTGCAGGCGTGCCTTTTTCCAAGGTCTGAATCAGCAGCTGGCCTGTTGTAAGCATTGAGCCGGCCATTTCATTATCCACAACAAGGGCCCCCCCTTCGTAATCTAGGAAGGCGTCAATTGGTTCCGCGCCCTCTATTCCTTCCGGCGTGATGCATACCCTACTCAGCCCATCCGCCCTGTTTCGAAGCCCTGCGATCCGCTCGACCTTGTAGTCGAACTGCCATATGAACCCTATCCATCTACCGACGGTCGGATCTATAGGCTTGTAATTCTTCAGTGCCCCGACAACATTGGTGGGGTCGATCCTTAAGATGAATTGCCTTCCGAACAGATATGCCTGGAAAGTCTTCAGGCAATGTAGGATGGCTAAGACCTCCTTCTTGAACTGTGAGTACCGCCGTTCTGCCGAATTCAAGGTCCTACTCTCGAATCTGATCGGTCTTTCCTTGCCCTCCTCGCTTTTCTGTATCAATACGCCTCCTACTGCCATTGGGCCGCCATCTGTCTCTAGGATGAAGGGCCGTCCTACTTCGTCATTGAAGCAGGGTGCTGCTAAGATAACCTGATCGGACGACAGGATGTCTTTCAGGGTMTGGGYTGCCTCTTCCCTATCCTCGGTCCAATCCATAGTGCCACCTTCCCTAATCATCGCGCGGATAGGTTCTGCTATCTTTGCGAAACCTTTGATGAAGATCCTCCATAATCCAACCACCCCTAGGAAGGCTCGTACTTCCGTCGTGGTACGCAGGGGTGTTGGCCACTGAGAGATCTTATCTGTCTTTGCTGGGTCGGGTCTCCTCCCATAGGCCCCACAACGAAATCCCAGTATAGTTACCTCCGGGACAGCCAGGATGCTCTTTGGCCCACTTGCGGTAATATTATAGAGCAAGAACCGCTGTAGGAGATCCTTGATATCCTGCAGGTGATCCCAGACAAATTTTCGCACACTCGGCTCGACCTCCGTCTCGTCCTTGTACCTTGCGCCTTTTACGGGATTATCATCTATATATGGTTCACACTTCTCTGGAAACATATCCCCTGTGATAGCGAGCATCCTCCTCTGCGCCTCTGCTACCGCATTTGTGAAACCCATAGGGGTCACTTGCATCTGCAACTGTCCTACGGGGGTGTGCATTGCGGTGTACGGTCTATCCCTCGCATCGAGCGGCAACTGATCATATCCTGAGTACAAGTCTACCAGGGAGTAAATGTTCCGCCCCGCATGAGATTCTGCCAATAAGTCGGCCTGTGGAAGCGAGCCTGCGTCCCTAATTGTTACCGCATTGAGCTTCTGCAGGTCCTAGATCCACCTGAGCGTTTTATTGCGCTTCCTGAACACGAACCACTTGTTCGTGTAGGGGGATGCGGTGGGTTCAGCCACGAAAGAATCTATCTTGGCTCTAAGCAGGTCGGTGATCTCCACTGCTATCCCAAACTCATAGGCGGGCCCTTTATCATTCCAACACTCGTGCTGTACAGTGTGGATCCTGACAGGGGGAACTAGCTTTGCGTCCAATCGCCCTTTTTGATGATGGTTGAAAGCGAAGGCTAAATGAAACTCCTGACATGCCTATCTTATTAACTGAGTTTCTTCCGGTGTTAGGAACCCTTCTTCTCCTATTTTCATGGTATCTGCTACGTCATCTGGTATGCGATGACCTTCCGTTGCGCGTCTCTCCCTTATAACCTGTAGGATCTCCTCTTCCTTTTCCATGGCCTCTTCCGTTGATGTTTCTACTAGGATCGAGACCGGTTTGACCTTCTTCCCTACGGGTTTGTATTCTGGCACACTGCCCTCTGGGATCGTTCTCCTAAAAAACGAACGGTCGGGATCGGCCTTGCTACCTCCAAGACGAGGGGCTGGATGCTGACTAGCTTCCCATTCAGACAGTAGCCCTTTCGGACCCCATCCTCAAATCTAGCAAGCGTTGCGGGGTCCACCCCCACTTTGTGATACCTGATGGCCTTAACGAGTTGTAACAAATCTGGGATTTCAAGCACCACCTCCGACGTTTCGTTCCGGCCTTCCTTTGGTTTGGGCAGGCTGGCCCCAAGTTCGACTTCCGACTCTTTTTCTTCCACCATAACTTCCAGGGCCTCGTCCTCTTGCCTCCTCTTCTTCAGGGTAGACCCATCTTGATCCACTCCTTCTTGCTAAAAACTTCCTCAATCATGATTTCTACTCTTTCTCTCATACCTTCCATCCGTGCGATTGCGCCTTTCCGTGCACTTTCCTCAAACGTCTGCGACCAGGTTGCCAGTTTACCCTTGGGAGGGTCCCCTCCAGTTCCGAGGAGTCAGAGGAGTTCTCCGCGACCTGTCACCGGGTCCTCTATGTCTACCATGTACGTGCCGTCATGCAAGTGCATGCCAATCATTTCTACATTGGCGTACCAAGGTCTCCCAAGGATTATGTCATGGTCCATTTCTTCCATGACGGTCATCCGTTGGAAAGACCAAATGGATTCCCGAATTCCTGCCCTGACCGCACATTTGGTGACATACCCGGTGAAGGGAATTTCTCCGCCTGCTCCCCTGATACTCCCTACTACTTCCTTGTTTATTGTGCACCCCGTGATCGTTGCGAAATCCCGTCGTATGAGGGTAATTTCTGCGCCGCCATCCACTAATGCATCGGTGTGGTGGGTTCCAACCTGGACTTTAAGTTTTCCTACAGGCAGTGCGTGGAAGCTAAGTTTAGTGTCGGGCGGTGCTCTCATTACTTCGCCACCTTCTCGGTCCTACAAACTCAGGCGAATATCGACAAAGGTTTTTTCCAAGTCTTCCAGGCCCCCTGGAATGCTTTGGAAGTTGGAGACTCCTTGTGGCGCCTCTGCCTCCTCGGGTCCTTGTTCCTGTGGTTCCGGAGCCTCCTCTACTTCTACACGTCTACGCGTCATTAGCTGCCTGAGGCCCTTGAGCAGTCTCGGGCTTGCCTGCAGCATGGTCTGGAAGGATACTGACACCATGGTGCCCAGGAGTTTCCTCAGTGTGTCATCTAATTCGGGCGGCGTCAGAATCGAAATCTGGTATCTGAACTTCTTTTTTGCCGCTGTGGCTTTGTCTACCGGTTCCTCTTCCCTTGTTTTCCATAGACCTTCTCCTGTTCCCTGGCCTCAGCTTCCTCCTGATCTGCACTAGCTCCCGCGGCTTCTTCCATTACTGTGTCTCAAATGAGCTTCTTTTCCGCGCCAGCCCGTCGAGTGGTGATATTTACCTTGTCCTGCCCACTGCCTTCTAGGATAAAATTGGCCTGTGGTCCCCGTCCCCTTGGCTGGTCCCAGACAATCTTGGCTATTGGGTCTGCTTCTATGACAGCTATCTCTAGGTTATTCAGGAGGATGACGGCTCGCCGCATCCCTCCTGGCGAGTTCCAATTTACACGCTCCCCCCGCTGTCCGAGGATCTCGCCTTTGAGGGACCTGCTGCACCTCTGCCGCTCAATATCGTGATTGAGTCTCGGACAGGCCCGTACGAAATGCCCGATCATGGTGCAATACTTGCATTGTTCGTTGGCGGGGTCCCTTCTGCCAAATCCCCGGTTTGCTACAGCTGTCGGAACCACGACTTCTTGGGGCGGGAGGGCGGGTCGGGATACTTGCGCCTGCATCACTAATAGCGCGCTTTCCATTCTTTCTATCTTATTGTCAACCCCGTGCACCCTTTCATGCAGGCTCTCTACTCCCTTTTTGACCTTATCCCCCGTTTTGCCGGTCAGATCTATGACCTCCCCTTCCTTAAGCAGGGCTAGTGTCTCGGTGACCACTGTCTTTTCCACAAGGTCTGTTACGGTGTTGAAGTCCACATCTCTTGTGTACTCGAACTTACTGGTCTGCTGGTATGCTGACAAAATCTTATCCTTATCAAACTCGGAGAACTGCCTGAGGAAGTATTTACTCATTATGCGGTCCGTTACCCCGGGAATTCGCAGCGCCACTAACGTAAATGCCCTTAGGAAATCGTTGTAAGTCACATAGTTTTTTCTCTGGACTGCTGCTAAATCGGCCTCTGTTGCCATTTTCTCTGGCTTCAGGTATTTCCTCATCATCTCGTTCCTGGTTTCTTTCCAGGATCCACTGGACGCGACGATGGCCATAATGTCCCTTCCCAAGCTTAGCGACACGTGCTGCCCTAGGTGCTCCATATTTTCCTCCTCCGTCCATTTTAGTAAGGCTGCTAGGTTCTCACAGTCTATCAGAAACTTCGTAATGTTTGCCCCATCGAACGTGAGTTTCTTCTTTGCATCTGCGAGGTATCCCTGGTTCTTGTTTAGTGCCCGGATGAGGGTGGTGACTACCCTCTTGAGACCACCTTCGGAGCTACCCGCTTCTCCAGCTACACTGGTCCCTTCCCCTTCCTTGCTTTCCCTCTGCTTCTCCCTAGTTTTCGGCGTTCCTTCTGGGTCAAACCATCCTAGCACCCTTTCCCTAAGGCTCCAGAGTCCGTCGCACGCCCCTGTTACTTTCGGCGTGGCTGGCAGTCGGCTAGTGCTGCTGTCGATAGCAGGCGGAGTCATAGCGTTTTCCGTCCCCTCCGCCAGGGGGTCGTTCTTGTCCTTCCCCTTCTTGCTAGGAGTTCCTTTGCGGCTATTATCCTTCCCCTCATACCTGGCCTCGTCCTGGCCGGTCCCACGTCCCTCACGTGACCCTGCGCCCTGGGGGTCCTCCTCGTCCTCGGCCATCATCTGCTCGATAAGCCTTGCCTTAAATTTTGCAGTCTGTTTTTCTATTTCTGCCAATTTACGACTGGCATCCGAGACTTTTGTCTTTTTAGGGGTGGCTCCTACTGAGTTCTGAGGGCTTGTTCTCATATCGTTTCCCCCTTCCCTGTTTTCCTGAGGTCCCCTTTTGCTACCCCCAGCTTTCCCCGAGCTTTCTCCAATTGAGGCGTCCTTTCTGTCTCCTCGGGTTCCTTCCGGTTTGGCTGACTCTCGATCCCTGGCTGATCCCTCGTTTTGTTCCCCATCCCCATTCGTGCCCTGATTCCCTTCGCTCTGCTGGTCATCGATCCCTTCCTCAGTCGTCATTTCTTTACCTAGCCTGCACATGGAAAAAAAATTTTTTGTGGAAAAGTGGCCGGTTGTTCATAACTGCCCTAATCTCGACCCTAAAACCCGCTTATTCCCATGTTTTTTTTTGCGTCTTATATTAATCGGTCCGACTCTCCTGACTTTTCTTTCCCAGGGCATCCTTCAGGTTTTTCTCCCGCCGGGGAACTTGCCGCCGCTGCTTGGCATTTTATCACTGCCGCGCTTTGGCTCTTAGGGCGGTGTTTGAGCCCAGTGGCCTCCTTATCGAGGATGGCCCTTTTGGCTTTTCGACCTCCAAATGCCCTAGAGTTTTCTGGTGCGGGTGGTCTTCCTAGTTCCTCCTTGCCGCGCTATCGGTTCGAGCGGAGCTCCAACCACTGGCCCCCCCTTTTTTTTGGTGATAGCTGCCTTCTTATCTCAGTACCCGTCCCTTATTTCCCTATTTCTTTCTGACGCATTTTCTCATGCCGGTCCCTCAGGCCTGCCTTGCTCATCCGGTTCTTCGAACAGGTCGGCCACCCCAGCAAGATAGTTTTCTCCCATCTCTATTTCCCTAACGATTATTGGTTCATACTCCTCAAACGCCAAGCGAGGCAACCCGAATATCAAAATTTCAATTAGGTCAAGTAATTCCCAGGCCTGATTACCCCAGAACGGTCCATACCTGACCAACACATCGTAAAACATCCCCGTTGTCTGTGGTCGAAAGTGGTGAATCCAGACCAGGGTCGAATCCACTAGGTCCCTAGCCCTCTCAAGGCTGCCAAATACCAGGTCCACCATGAAGCGGGGGACTCGACACCTCAGCCCTGTCATTGGGGCCTTAAACTCTCGCCAACCTCCTACTTCAACCCGGGTCCTCAACCCCATATTCCTCCTCCCTCGCACTTCCTGGCCTACTCGGTTCAGTACCCTAGTAGCCCTTTGAAAGATTGGTAACAACCCATGTCCTAGTGCCAACTCCGTTCCTAACATATGCCACCCAAGCTCTGGCAGGTATACGGTTCCCGTCGCCCTGAGGTCAATGTACAGATCGTCCCCTGGCCCCCTATTAATCCTCATACCATCCCACAAACATTCCACCATCATGAACACCTGGTCCCTTCCCAGGGTCACGGCTCTCCATTCGGTATCAATCCCTCGGACCCTGTAGCTTGTCGCGAGCGATACCTCCCATCCGCCCCCACATTCCGTGGGTGGCCGCGGGTACGTGAGCCGTCGCGACATCCGGGCGCGTCTCATCGCCATTGTCGATTAGCGGTCCCCTGCACAGTTTAAACAGCAAGCGAGTTTGCTTATTCCATCCATTCCCCGACCCTTACCTGAGCAATTCCTTGGTCCTTATCTCAATGCCTCTTTCCCCTTCTATCTCTTTCTTTTTCTCGGCTCTTTTACCAGCCTGTTTCTACTCCCGTCGGCTCATACAATCGGTATAAATAATCCACGTACGTCATCCCCTGACTTATTTCCCGTCGGACAACGCCCCATAGAACTTCATCCCCTACGACCGGGGCCCTTGGCCTGGTGGTAAAAACGGCGCGCAGAGTCTGCAACACCTCATACTTCTGCTCCCCGCTAAACGGCCCCATTTCTAGGAAGGCCCGGTAGTATTCCCGGTGTATCATTGTGTCCTCATATGTCAGAGTGGCAAGGTCAGCTACCGCGCGTCTGATAAGTTCCACTCCGCCTAGCCTTTCCAGCAGGAAGGGCGGCAGTCTCATCCGGACATTCTCACTGGCAATTCAAAGCTCCCGACCATGGCTACCCTAAGGTTTGCTGTTACATCATCCATCCCTGGGTCCGCGAATTCGATTCCCGCCTGCCACACCAACTGCCACGCCCCTTCGAACATGCTCAATGGATCCTCCCCTGACGCCAACATAACTCCAAACTCCCGCCACCCATCCTCTGACATATACAACCGCGCTTCTGCACGCACATGCCCCCTCGGGTCCGGGTTCCATTCCCCACTCTCGTCTGCACGCCACTCAACTTTCGTTACTAAGTAAACCATGTTTTCCGCAAGTTCGACTCCGACCCAATCCGCCACCTGGTGCCAGCCTCCATTCGCCGCTAGCAAGCTGACCTCTATCCCGCCCGGTACTTCCCTAGGCGGTTCAATGCCCAAGGGGCGTTCCTCGAGGAACGTCCTCCTTCGCGCCATTACGCACTCGCCTTTGATCTCCTGGCTCGCAATCCGCACTGAACCCTACAATGGCCAGGCATCCCATTCCCTTATCTTAGCAATCTTCCCGATATTTGCCTGGCCCCACGACTTTCCTGCGCTTAGTCGAACCACAGTACTTCGAACAGTTTGAACACATCATCCACATAGCAAGGTGTTGCTGCTACCTCACGGCGGATTATAGCCTCCCTAGTTTCTGGGGCCACCTCCTGCCGGTCATTCCTTTCGATATCCAAAATGATAAGGGCCTCCCGGGCTCTATCGCGATGGAAGGGCCCGTATTTCACAGATGTCCTATAGAATTCCTCTGCCAGCCATGCGCAGTTCACGTGTATTCGCTCCATTGTGTCGGCTACCTCTGTTACGTGATAAAAACCCCCAAACCAGTCCGCCACGAACTCGGGCACCCAGGTCTTGATTCGGGCGCCAGGCGGTTTAAATTCCTTCCATCCTCCCATCACGACTCTACTGCTGACCGTATCCCAACCTTTGTTAGCAAACCTTTCCCCCGCCTGCCGAGCCCTTGCCTCAGCGTCCCCTAAAATCCACATCGGGTTCTGTCCTGCCGCGAGCGTTGTGCAGAACAGGTGCCAACCTTGCTCAGAGAGAACAATCGTCCCGACTGATTCCACCCTTCCTTCCGCAATCTCTTCCCATCCTTCCTCTTCCCTCAACGGGTTCCAGACACGCTTTACCCATAGGTACGATAGCTCCGGCACAATCTCATACCCCCGCCAATGCACAACAGGTGCCAACCTTGCTCAGAGAGAACAATCATCCCGACTGATTCCACCCTTCCTTCAGCAATCTCTTCCCATCCTTCCTCTTCCCTCAACGGGTTCCAGACACGCTCTATCCATAGGTACGATAGCTCCGGCACAATCTCATMCCCCCGCCAATCACATGTGGTCCCCTTCCATTCATTGCTTGGTGGTACTGACATCTATACTCCCCTTCCGACTTGTCTTGGTTCCCATGTGCAGTCCCATAGCTCGAGTTCCCGGGCCATCGCTCCCTACCTGCACATAGTCGACAACCCGTTTTTCACCAGGTAAGTCCCCCCCCTCAGAAGTCCCAGTCCTCTATCTCGTCCCCATCCTCCTCATCACTGAAATCCTCCTCCTCGTCTAAGAACATCTCTTTCACCCCTTCCAAGAAGGTTTCCCCTGCCGCCACGTTTCGGTAAACTATCTGCCAATACGCTGGACTAGGAACAAAGACTTCGTCCACGCCGAGGAGGTTTAACACCTCAGCTAATTCTTCCGCCCAGTTTCCTTCAAACGACCCTGCTTCCACCGACAATCTAAAGAAGTCTTGTCTAGCACATTGGTACAGCCTCCGGTGTGTCATCGATTGGCATATATGTTCCAGTCTATCCCTGGTCCCAAAGACTGCATCCACCAGAAACGGGGGTAGCACGCACCTTATTGTCCTAAGAGGACGTCTCATATTTTTCCGGTCCTCGAGTTCCACTCGCACCTCCATCCTTTCCATCTCCATTTCTTCCCGCTGACATGCTGCCCATACCACTTCCCGTTCGGCTTGCCTAAACAGTTGATCTGGTGCCGTGCCCAATACTAGTCCCACTACCATTGCATTTTCCAATTCCTGTGATAGGTAGACCCATCCTCGAGCTTCCACTGTTCCCCATAATTCTAGGTCCATCAAGCTAGGTGAAAGTCTCATCAGGCTGACCTTAGTCCAGATTGTCTCTATCCAGAGGAGCGCGTCCTTCTCGTCCAGCATCACGGTTTCATAGGCCGCGGTTCTAGGTCGGTCCCCGTCCCTTCTTCCGGGAGAACAACAGATACCCCATCCCTTACCTCTATAGGCATTTCCGGACCACTAGAGTAGACAGGAGGCGACAACCATCGCGCCATCTTGTTTCCCGGCGCTTGCCCTGTTTTCCACATGAGAGCACCACACGGCCCCTCGTGATCAGATGGTTTGCTTTTCCTTTTTCTAGATGAGAGTTGTTTCTAGACCCCTCATCCGGGTCTCCCTAACTTTTCTTATCCATTTCCCAGGTGCCATTGCCCTACCATACCCCCAATCGATCACCAGTGTTCGCATTGCTTTCTCGGGGTTCCTTTTCCTTCCGACTCCTATCCAGCCTTATCCTCATGTTCTCTCACTCGTGCAGACTCAGACAGGGGGTAGGAATAGACTAGAGGCTCGGCTCCCATCCCAACATCCATCAAGCAGACTTTACAGAGGAAGACACAGGAAAAAGAAAAACTCAAGCAATCATCGCACCCTGGCCGGTCATCTCCTCACCGACCTTTTTTCCAGAAATGGTCTCTCTAATGTTACTATCGGCAGAGTTTTACCCCAAGCCTCAAGCACAGCTCAACCGTCGCGAGCGCGGTACCCAGACTCCAGTGGGGGGTCGCCCTCACCTTCTTGCCCAGAATACCCCATCCCGACTTGCCGCTCGTGTACCCACCGTTAATCTCGGGAATCACCCCGCACATCTCGGTAGGGCCATTGGAGCCAGCCGTCCAGGCACTCACTTCCATCGGTCCGATAAGGAATAGCCTTTCCCAAAACAGGCTACGAGAAGCTATTAATTGCCTCCCAGGCTCCGTCTTTGTCCCCATGCAGTGGTGCTCCCTCCGCCAGTCCACAGGCTAGGCCCCGCCTAAGGAACGTTTCACACCCCGCCCGGCAGATCAATCGAGCCGAAGCCCGTCACCGCGCGGACGAGAATGCTAATAAGCACTCGACGTGACAAACTCCCGTTAGACAGCTCGGTGGCCTGACCCCCTCATACGAACAAACGACACTCTGCAAAGAGAACGATGTTTGGCAACCCGCAGTGGCCGGTGCAGACCCCCCCTTTCCTTCCAAATGGCAGGACGCTCGAAACCCCAATCATGCAATCACAAGTCCCAAGTGGGACACACATAACACACGTGCCTTTCCCCTGGTGCACCCAGCGCTTCCTACCCATAGCTCACAATTTTTCTCTCGGGACAGTGCGTGCCACTCACCCCTAACATCCATACACAGTGCCTGATTCCTTCTCCTGAGCATCTTCAAAGGTGAGCTAATTTTCCTCGGAGTCTAGCAACTCCCTTCCTTCCCTTATCTTCGCTTGTGTGTCCGTTCATAGGGCAGGATTGTTCCTTCTCGATTACCCTTTGTGTTCATATGAGGTTCCTTCAAGCATTAAGTGTGGTGCATGGAGCCCGCTGGGCTCCGGAGAAAAGGAAAGAGAACACTCGTGTCGGTCGGATCACTCCGCCGCGGGATTTTCATCGGAACCCGGACTAGCCCGGAATCCCAATCGCCTGCCAGGTAATCGGAGCCCTTCTTTCACACGAAGAGGAAAGGTCGACCTGCGGCTTGCCCAAGGCTTCCCCGGTCTGACGAACATCAGCCCGAACGAAGGAGGACTAGAGCCATCTCCAGGGGAGATGGATGAGTGTGTGTGCAAACACGCATGTTATTCCTCCAGGCCTGGCCTTGCCATGCGCCCAGCCGCCCTCAAATCTGATTCACTCAAAGGATAGAGCATACACAAGTCCTCATTCCTTGTCTTTAGTTATGTACATGGTCATGCGTCGGGCGCCCACCTCGAGATCGTCAGGGTCAATTTAACCCAATACCCGGCACCTCCATCATTTTTGTAGGGGCCGTACCCTGAAGGACTTTCGAGCCTAAGTCAACCCCACTGCGGGTCCCATTTGGTTCGACCCGCCCACGCTCACGCTTAGGGCGCGGGTCGTTCGTCCCAGGGGCATCCCCACCTAGTGCTTTGAGATGGATGGGGATGGGCCTTTTGCGAGAGGGCTTTACATTAGGGGATGTAGCTCCGGTCTCGATGGTAGCTCTTTAGGCACTCGTGGCGTTTGCTTGATTCTCTTTTCATCTGACCAAGCAATTGCTCCTTCGAATACGCAGGCAGTCTAGGGAGTTCATTGAGAGTTTATCTTCGTTTCGTGTGTAGGCCAAGCGTCATCCATTGGACCACACACTTCTTCACTAAACCTAGCGACTCAAGACCGCCCCTSCGGCATCCTCGGGGTGGGGWGGTTTCACCCGGACCCCTAGCCGCTATATATTTTTTTTTTGCTTGAGTCACTAGTGTTGCATTCACCTATCCAAGACCGCCCTTAGTCCTTCCGGGCGTACAGTGCATTCAAGAGCGCCATTGCATTCAATCACCATGCAAGCCGCATTCGGCATCTACCATTCATCCAAGCATCCAACCGTCAAACCCATCCCGCATTCATAGTTTATGTGAGGTCTACGTCCCTCCCTTATCCAGTTTTCTGGCGGATCCAGTCCCGCTCGACACCCATCCCGAGCTACTCACCTGCACAACACCACACAAAGCATGGACCAAATACAATCCCCATTGGGGTCAACACACCGCCCCTTCCCGCCATCCTAAAAGCTTCCTTTGCCCTTCGATGATCCTTTGGTTGTTTTTCCCTTCCCTCAAGCAAGCCGTGCCTTTATCTTAGTCATGCAGTTGGGGAGGATGGTTGAGTTAAACTGACCTTGTTACAAAGACAACACTCCTTTCCGCTTTCTCCAACGCCCACAACAATCCGGCGCTTTTCCTTCTTAGTGGCACAAGGGACCAACTGCCCTCCCCTTGCCCTCGCTTTCCACCAAGTGAGGATCAAGTTCGTTACCGTTCGTCCCCTGGCAATGTAACAGGTGAAGGTAGAGGTTAGTTACGTGCCATGGAAGGGAAGGGACGAGGTGAGAGTTAAAGGTCAAGGACCGTGGGGAAAGAGAGCGAGGGGAGAGAGGAGGCGAGGGGAGGGGGGAGAGAGAGAAAGAGAGAGAGAGAGAGCGAGAGAGAGAGAGAAAGAGGAGAAGGAGAGGAAGGGAAGACGAAGGGAAGCGAGAGAGCGGGCACGAGAGGCTCCACATCCTAATCGCCCCTGACCCTTGGCCCACCTTGACCGACCCTACCCGGACTCCGCGTGCTCCTTTGCGCCTCCTATGATTCTCGAGCGGACGGGCGTAGGTGGTGGGGGTGAAAGAAGGATTGGGGGGTGGTCGGCTTATGGCGGATGGGTGTAGGTGATGAAGGTGGAAGAAGGGTTGGGGTGGTMGGCTATGGTGGATGGGTGTGGGTAATGGAGGTAGAGGAAGGGTTGAGGGTGGTCGGCTATGGTGGACGGGTGTGGGTGATGAAGGAGGAAGAAGGGTTGCGGGTGGTTGGCTACGGTGGACGGGTGTGGGTGACGGAGGAGGAAGACGGGTTGGAGGTGGTCGGCTATGGTAGACGGGTGTGGGTGATGGAGGAGGAAGAAGGATCGGGGATGGTTGGCTATGGCGGACGGGTGCGGGTGATGGAGGAGGAAGAAGGGTTGGGGGTGGTCGGCTATGGTGGACGGGTGTGGGTGAAGGAGGAGGAAGAAGGGTTGGAG